CACCTATTATTAAACTTAAGCCTATTTTACTCTGAGCCATTTCGTAACGTCTGGAGGAATTTAATTCATCATAAATACTATTTCGACTTCTCATGAGTTGAGGTCTATAATGCATATATTAACTTTGCTCTTCATTACCCTCCATCTGTCTAACAGTGACTACATGGTCAATTATATTCCTTAGTATGTATAATTCGCGGAGTTATCATGAAGCTTTCGAAACATATCTAATTCAACAGTGGACTTCTTCATCGATTAATATCACACAGAAATTCCAAAAGATCTCTATCGACTGCAAGTGAAAAACATTTTGTTTAAAAAATTTCGAAGTTTTGCATTCTTTTCAAAATTTTTGATTTTGTAAATCATATATCTCGATGGCAGAGCAACGAAACAAAATATTCTTTTTAAACAATCGATAGATTGTGAAGTTCCCTACAAATAATGTCTTGGAAGTTTTTCAGCCTCATACTTCCTTTATTTTCTGTGATCGTTCTACAAATGGGTCATATATGACTCACTGAGGGGTAAAGGGTTAATCTTCTTTCATATGAAAACATGATGATTTGAACGATCATTTTTATAGAAGAAAATTGACATAGTTAAAAAGTGTCTTATTTCGCTAAGGCTGTGTATGATGACCTCAAACCCGAACGATACATTAACCTCCAATGATACGTTAACATCTGATGATTTTGATTGGGTTATCCCTCGGCCAGTACAAATGTGGTTATTAACTATTATCATTATACCATCAATTGCATGTTCGGTTTTTCATTTATATCATCTCATTAGCAAACGTATTCTACGAGAAGCATTACATAATCATCCAATAATTGCTATTATTTGTACAATATTTCTTCTGCAATTCATCGATATTCCATTGTATATAAATTACCTTCGTCTAGGTTATGTTTGGCCTGAAACATCAACTTTTTGTATTATTTGGTATAATACGGATGGGCCTCCTATCGGCGTTTTGATAAGCGTTATCGCTGAAGCATCATTGGGAAGGCATATTTTGATTTTTCATGACAAATGGTTATCGACTCGAAAGAAACGATTATTGTTCCATTATATTCCACTAATAATAACCATTGCGTATCCATTAATATATACGCTTTCAGCTCAAATATTTTTCAAGTGCATTGATTCATATCCGTACGATTACACTAAGGTATGGTGTGGTTATTATCCTTTTTGTAAAGACAATACATTTTTTGAGCAATCGCTTTTCTATGGTAATTTAGTTGGTGGCACTATTATCGCTATTATAGCGGATATAGCTCTTATTGTACGATTAATTTGGAAAAGACATATTCGTTTACGTCAACCATTTGTCTGGAAAAAATATCGTAAGATGACAATTCAACTATTATCTGTTTCAATATTCTGCTCCAGTTTCAACTTACCTATGCTTGTCTACGGTGTACTAATGCATGAAGGAATTATACCAAATATCAATTCCAATGGACTTTATAGTGTCTATTTTATGAATTGTTTTGGATGTTTATTCGTGCCAATCGTCATGATACGTTCACTTCCCAAAAAATATTGGTGGGAAAAATGGTGGAAGACATTAGTTCGTAGACGACAACGTCAATAACCAACAGCGCTAACGACCATACCTATACAAATACCAAGACAAGGATGAATACACGATATTTCATAGAACTTTTGACATCTGCCATAAAGATTATTTTTCGCTTGTTCATCATTATATTAAATACATTAAACTATATGTGTATTGTAAAATCATCATTGGTGTTTCGTGCAATTCTTGTATATGCTCATAATTATCTATCGTCACATGGAGTAAAACACTGCTTTTGTAATTGGTAAATATAAGAATAATTCAATTCTAGTCTCTCGAATTTTCCGTTCCAACATTTGTTGATATCATTTGTGACTTTAATTAACCCTGACCCACCCACCTGGGGTCCAGGCGGACCCCAACAATTTTCATTTTAACGTTATACACATAATACGTCGCAATCAAATCACGCGCCTATAGATATGCTCTAATGAGGAGCAGTAGAGCTCGCTGGTAGCGCCTATTGTTCACCATCATTAGTTATTTATGTGATAAATTATCTCGAAGTACATATGAACGCTTGTTGCCCACATGAGGTCCGTCTGGACCCCAGAGAAATTCAATTTAATTTTCTCTATTCGCAACTTTAGTTAAAAACTTGTCTTGTAACCTATGCGTTAGAGACACTTAGTAGAGCATCCTCATAACATCAGTCAATTAGATTCAGTTGTTGCTAATGCAAAAAAGTATCTCAAAGTACGAGTAGATGTTGAGTATCGGATACATGATCTCAAACCTTAGAACAATAGAATATGACAAAAAAACAGAAAAAAGCAGAATAAATATTATTCAAGTTAGTTGTAATCAGAGGTACAGAATCTGCCGTGATTTTAGAAAATTTCCCCACACGAGGGATTATTTTCCCCAGCTATTTCCCCAAAACGCTTCTAAGAATCAAAAGATTTCCCCACACGGTCGTGCGCGCACGCGGATAGATTCTGCACCTCTGTGGGACTCTCCCAGCTAATAGTGTATTACTTATGTATAAAAGTAAGTCGGTTTAAGCAGTTGAATCTCACAAACATACACTCAAGCTTTCGTATACAACATGCTAGTTACTCTGCCAAGTTCGGTATTCATTGGCAGTGCGAATTATGTTGAAGATGGTGAAATAGAAAATGAAGAACCATTTATTCATGGAAGAAAAGTCGAACAACACGACATCGACCTATCATACATGGCTATATCCAAATTTTATTTGTCATCTCGCAACCAAAAAACAATGCTTCTGAATCCTGACATGATGACCAAACTGAACTCACGATCAGATCTGCAAGCCAAAGTTATCGAGTTGTATCAGCGAGATCTTGTCAATCCCTATGGTGCCAAAGTAGTGGGTGGTCTATTAAGTGGTGGCGTTGACACATCTTTTATTCCGCTCATTCTTTCTCGATTCTTCAATATTGAAGTCCAAAGTCTTACGCTGAATTTCGGAGGTATTCACAATGATGGTATTGCTGATGATGCGAGAAACATTCGTCAGAATTTATCGATGTTAGGTGTATCCAATCCGAAATTCAAAGATATGCGCGAAGAACTTGGCGAATACTTTATTCCATTACTCATGGGTGATGTGATCATTCCAGGTTCGCCAGGTATCTTTCCAAACTCATCACTCAGCCGCATTCTCATGGTCAAGACTTTGGCACAAGAGTTACCTGATGCACAAGTCTATCTGACTGGATCAGCAAAGAACCAGAACAATAATCTGAGATTCATGACAGCTGCTTATGAATATCTTGGCAATAAACCATTATGGTCACCAATTTTCTTTTGGGAAGAAATATTCAAACGTCAAGATTGTCTCGATGTCATTCGACTTTGCACTGGTCAAGATTTGTCAACTCGATCTGAAAAAGATGATCCGTGTGCGAGTGGAGACGAAACATTTCTGAAAAAAGAAGAAGAAGATGGCACTCGAAGCCACTTAGATTATGATTTCCCTGTTCAACTATCGACAATGCTTCCACCTCGAACAGTGGTGTTGTATTTCGAAGAAGGTCGACCAGTAGGTATCGATGAACAACGATTGAGTTTTGTGAAACTCGTTGGAGTGTTGAACAAGATTGGTTTGCAATATGGCTTACCTTGGAAAGCCTCTGTCGAATCACGTCCCACAGGAAAAGGTGAAATCGAATGGAATCTGACACCTGGTGTTGATGTACTCCGAGAAGCGATGTGTCGGCTGCGAGCTGCATCTGTTCCACCTCGAATGCATCAAGAACTATTTCGTTTCAATGCTCAACTGGCCGAAGATATAGTGCGTGGTGGATTACACAATACAACAACAGTAGCCTACATCAATGTCATTCGAGAGTTGTGTGCGAATGTAACTGGATCAGTAGAATTAACGTTCTATCCCGGTTTTGTCCGTGCTAGTCGGCCAAAACCTGACAGACCGGTGACTGTCGCCGAAGCTCCATGTGGTCATTTGCTACCTCCGAAAAATGCATTGGATTCGGTTAACGCTCTCATTGCACACAATGTAGTTGGACAAGCATTTCAAACCGAAAAGCAAATGCGAGAACATTATAATTGACAGGCTGACCAATGTACCAAAGCTTTCTGAGGAAAAAAAACGCACTATCATTATTTGCTTATATTTCATTATTAATCTCGAATTGTATGTGTTATCCTGCAAATGTTTTTTGTAAGCTTGACTAATTTATATTGTACTATGTACAGTCGACAATCGATGTCAAGAAATCTCTTTAAGGCTATTTCATTTGTTTTCTAATGTAAAATAAACTGAGGAAACCTGTACATTACGTCTAATTTCGAGAATATTGTATATACAGCTTTTCTTGTCGATCGTTTTTCATATACGCCAGTCTTGCCTTTAATATAAACAGAGCAAAATAATATTAGAAATTTTTCCATTATATATAACTCTGAGAACTTTCGATGTAATACTACTCTGATCAAAGGTTCTATCTCAGTTCCTTGTTTATTGGCAGGCAGCCTGTTGCTTTGCTCTCTCTCTTCTTGTAAATATGAATAACCAATAGTATTTGCCAATGTGGGTGTGGCTACATGCATGAATGCCTAACAAGAAAAAGAAAAAAAAAATTTTTTTTCTCAAGGATTTGCTTAGATATCCGCAAGAATTTGGAAAGAAGGGACAAGAGAATGGTTCTTCTGTGACTAAGTGGGAAAAACTAAGATATGCATTAGGTCTATTTTGTAAATTATGTAGTTCTTCATTATGAATGAACAAGCAATAAAGTGCAATGATGGGCTAGGTTTATTTAATTATGTGATCCTTAAACCAGTGACCATCACGTCTGTTTTCGTTCTAACACTCACTTTAAAATTTCCAATCGTGATTTTCTAGAATAACCATTGAAATGATTATTCAGATCACTACTCACTACGTAATAAGTTGTGATAGGCGCTTATAGTCATAGTTTCTTCTTCCTAAGTTTCAACAATGATCGAAATCAGCTTGTTTCCTGTTCTGTCATTTATATCTCATGAATGAGTGAACCTAGATCGATCACCCGTTCGCCATCAAACAAGCAGGTTAATTAAGTGTTTTTTATTCGGATATAATTTTGGTAGCGTGAAAAATCCTAAGCAGAAGTCAATAATAATCATTGAACAAATGATAGATCGATACTTTTGTTCATTTCAAGAATAATTGGCTCATTTTTCACTTTTACCTCCAGATCTTTCAATCAGAAAACGTTTTCAATCTTCACCACAGGTTTGACTGTTTTTCTTCCTCATAAAAACAAAACCTGCCTAGCTAATTCATTTAAGAGTGCCAGCATGCCTATATCAAGCTGCGAATATAGCATTGAAGTATGATTTAGAAGAAAATGAAGTTTTATCTAACAATATTTTTCGTCACATAGCATGTTCTGCAGAGATTCTGTTGAGTACTTGATAGATAAGATATGTGAGCTCCAAGATACAGTATACGAGCATCAAATAATGGAAGAAAGCATGATGATTCAAACCACCAGCAAAGTAATCCCTCAGAGTATTGTTACTTTCAATCATTCACAGCAAGGGCAAACGGTTTGAAAATGTACGTTAGTGTGAACGTGAAAGAATAGAATAGAGATATCCACATCTGTATTCGATAATGAACCATTTCTAAGAAAAAAAAGAAAAACCATCTTAATTATCAAAAGGACCGTCAAATAGCATTCTTTTTAACCATAAGACAATTATGTAGAAGAAAGGATTGTGTTCTCATTAAATTATTATGAGCAACGTATATGACATCCATGCAATTGATATTGATCATCAGTGATCCTAAAAAAGTCATGAAAATACTAATTAATTACCTTGAAGGTCAAAATATAATGTGCTTCATTGCTTTTTTAATAAACTTTGATAGGAATATCAAAAGGACATTCGGTTTTCACCATTTAAGTGGGAAGATGCGGATTCATCGAATTATCTTCTCTTTTCATTTACACAAGGCTGATATTCCTATTTTGTTCCATTCAAGGGTTATAGGGCTTTTTCAGAGACCTCCCATTTCAGTCAATGAATAGAAGTAATTGCCCAAGCAGACCCTAAAAAGCCAACGGTGGGTACGACGAGTGGTCGAAACTTGAATATATATTTTTTTTCTAGTTCTGTTCGAATTTCGAATCCCTCGGAAGGATTTTCCCATCGCACATTTATTTTCGACTACTCGGGCATATTTCGATTATTCGATATGATTCCGATGAGTCGGAGCTCATCGAACTATCGAGTGGTCGGAAACATTGTCCCATGGTGCATTCATTTTCGACTCCTTGAACACGTTTCAACGACTTGTAGTCTATCGAAATTTCGACTACTCGAAGACAAGATGCCTATAGGAAAGGGTGTGGGATGTGACTGTGAATGTGGGTGAGGGTGTGATTGTGTACAAAAACTAACATACTCACACCCACACCAACACACCCACACCCAAACACCCACCCACACCCACACCACACCCACACCCAGACCCACCCACATCTTTGATTATGATTTTACAGAGAATTTCACGGCGCAT